GCCTCCAAACAGCAGGCCAAGAGAGGAACACTGCCCTCCTTCTCATTTCCTCTCCACCCTCAAAAAGTGCAACCCCTCCCCCCTTTATCAAGTGCCCCTGTGGCTCCAGTAGGCTTCAGGGTCTCCACAAATGGAGCAGATAAGAATATTCAGAACACTCTAGTTTCAAGAGATGGGGAATGGGAAAGAAGGCAGGAATACGGTTGGAGAATATATGTAGCAACTTTCAGTTCATGGCAAAGATTTTATACTCTGGCGATGGGGAACCATGGAGTGGGAAGGTGGAGTAATGTGGTGTGTAACTTTGAGGGTGGAAAAGGAAAATGGATTTGGGGCAACAATAGATGTTGGCAGGTGCTGCCGCCAAGGTTGGGCTGCCCTCTCTTTATGCCTGGTGAGAAGCCTTTGGTCACTTTCATCTGATCACACTTTGATTAGATGGAGAGAGTTCTCCTTTCCCCTAGCTCTAATGCTCTAGGAACCTTGTGAGGGTCTGGACAATTAATTGAAAGAGGGGCTAGTCACATATGGGGTGGTCATTTGAAGATTTGGGCAAAGGCTTGGGCATAGGAGAAGTCTCTTTGGACAAACAGTGGGCTGCCACCAATAGGTTATCTTTACTCAGTGACACCAGACAGTAAATGCTGCTCTTTGAGCCTCACTCTCTGCAGCTCCCAGCTGACCAATGAGGTCCACTGGATGAAGCCCAGAGGCCTTTCCTCCGATGACTTTACATGGGTCGGTGTGGCCCCACACCCGTACCACCTTGGCTTGTGGAACTTTAGTCTTGTCTGGGATGGAAGGAAATTAGCTTTGCTAGTAGTATCTGAATATTGCTATCCTACACCTCGATGGGCGGCTCTTGGAAAGACGAATGTGCTAGTTTTGCTCTCTGGGTCTCCCATGACCAAAATAACAGGTGCCCACAGCTAGATGAAGAAGCGTGTTCTCGCCGGAGGGAAGAACATACACAAGACCCTGGGCCGAGAGGGAGTGTAGTACATTAAAGAGACTGAAAGCAGCACAGTATGGTGGGACTCAGAGAACAGGCAGGACACGGGGAGGGATGAGGGGAGATGTGGGCAGGCCAGATGATGCAGGGTCTCAAAGCCTGAGAGCGGCGGGACGCACCAGCCGTCTCCACGCATGAAGGTGTCATGGCCAGATCATTTTGAAAGGACCCCCTGGCTGCCTTGTGGAGAACAAGGAAGGGGGAGTAAAGGTGGAAGCAGAGGGGCTGTGGGGAGCTATTGGAGTAATTCAGGTGAGTGAGGATGGTAGCTTGGAGTAGGGTGGAAGTCATGAGGTGGTGAAAAACAGATGGATTTGGGAGATAGTTCACGGATAAAATTCATAGGACTGATGGCAAATTGCGTACGGGGTGAGGGAAGAAGGCTGTCAAGGCTGTCTGTAGATTTCTGGTTTGTGGACTGAGTACCGTGGGAGCATTTATAGCGATAGGGAACGCTGAAAAAGATCTGCGTTGCGGAGAAGATCCTAGGTTTGGTTTTGGACATAATGGTTTTGGTGGGAGGTTTGAAGCACCCCTCACCATAAGCTGGTGATGTCCAGTAGGCAGGGAATGTATGAGCTGGCGGCTAGAGGAGAGTAGGGTTAAAAAATTTCGAGGGTCATGAGCACGCGGTGATAATTAAGGCCGTAGCAGTGGATGTGAGCATTCAGGGAAGGAATTAGAGTATACGGAAGAGGCCCCGGGTCCAAGCCTTGTGAACACCCATCTAATTGATCCAGAGATGGGTAAGCCATGTCCCTGCCTGATGACACCCATAGTCCAGGAGGGTAGCTAAGTTGTGGATACCCAGGAATCTGTCATTCAAGGTAACATGTGCCAAGAGCCAAGTGAATGGTTAATGAAGGAAATTGGCTTACATTTCTCCGAATGGGTAACATGTTCCCTAGGCTGTGTATGGGCCTTTATGTCTGATCAACCTCAATTCACCTCTTCTCAGCTTCTTAGAGGATTCCCTTGGAGTGTGTTCATCTGTCCCATCCTTCCCGATGGCCAGGCTTCGCTCACATACTCTCTCAGCTTTATCTCATGGTGTAAGCCAGCTCTTTGGGTCTCTCCACATCTGTGTCATTAGTGCTTGATATATCTTTTTGGAGCTGAATGACTGAACCTTAGGGTGTGCTCTAATTACTGGTTTGGGGAGAATGTGGGCATGAAAGCAGGACCACAGGCAGCCGTGATCCATATGTCAGAATGAGCAGAGGGCGTAGCCAGGATGGCTAGGGGGACCCTGGAGACCAACCTCAAACCCCAGGTGGCACCTTTAGTGAATGGTGGCTCCTGGATAGTGGTGTGGCTGAAGCTTTGGGCTGACTCTGAATCTGAGCTACCCTGAGTCGCAGTTGTGAATGTGAATATAGTTGTCAAGGAAGGGCAGACTGTGGCGAGCATCACTGTCATCTGCCCAGTCACACGTCAGAGTGGTCTTGGGCTGCTCAGTTCTGCCCTGGGCTAGCTGGTGGGCAAACATACAGAAAGGCACTAGGGAGAGAGACGAGGCAAGACCAGAGGCCGAGGAAGGAGCCCCTCCCCTGCTGTCTTGAGCTGAGGGCTCCGCTCTCTCACCAATAGCATGCATGCTTACACCTGCCTCCCGGGTCTGTCTCCAGCGAGTGCCTTCCGGAAGCCACTCACCCTTCAAGACCAGCTTCAGGCTTAATTCATCGGAAAGCCTACCTTGGCCTAGCCTTTCTGGTCTCTCACAATATGGACTGGAGCCCACCGTATAGAAATAAATTATGAAAGCTTCACTCTGCGGATCATAGTTGTGTTTCCTGCTTGCCAACTCTGTCTTCATAAAAAGATGCTCAGTTACTCAAGTTCAGGGACCAAATGTTCTAGGCTGACTGAAACTGCCAGCAGAGAGCTGGGCACACAGGGGCTGCTCCACAACCTGGTAACTGGCCAGAAGCTCTGTTTCAAGAGACCTGGAAGAGCTGCTATTCATTAATTTATTCACTCATTCAGCAGGGGCTAAAGGCTGAGCTGGTTGTACAAGGTGTGATTTCTGCTCCCATAGAGCTTAAAATGAACATAATAATTGTAATATCCATCTTTTATTGTAGGCACATAGGCTAATGACTGCCCTGGGTACTTTGCATCACATTTCTCGTTCTTATTCTCACTATAATCCTGCAAGTTTGGGATTTTCCTCATTTTATAGTTGAAGAAACTGGCTCAGAGAGGTCTCAGAGCCAGCAAGGGGCAGAGCTGAGGTTTAAGCCCAGGTGCCCTGGGCTGTGCTGCTCGGCTTGAAAAGGCGTTTTTAAGAAATTGGGTCTGATCAGACGCGAGCGAGACCTTGGCAACTTGTGGCCCCTGTCTGGGGCTTTGGCGCAAAACGGAGTTGGAGTGTTTCATCTCCTAGTCCCCTCGGATTCTAACGTGCTGCAGCTCCATCACCGGGGTTCCCTCTCCTCCAGAGTGATGCTGGAAGTGTTTTGAAATACCACTGCAGTCCTGCCCAGGTCGTTGGCAGGGCTGCTCGGGGATGGCCAAGAAGGGCTGCGGAGTTCTAAGGTCTCGGTGGAGATGGTGGCGTGTGGTGACTCCTCAAGGGCACTGGAGGCTGCCCTTTTGTCCGAGGCCACGCCCGCCATCAGTGGGCACATCCTTGGTCTGTCCTTGCTCCTTCCTTGAGGGTTGATGCTGGGCGGGTCTGGCTGCCCTGGGGGAAGACCTAAAACCTAAGCCTTTGGCCTTAATTCACGGTGTCTCTCCAGGCAGTGCCCTACCCCCTGGCTCACCTGACACCACTGCTCTCCTCTTGTTCGGGAATTATAAGAGATTATGACAGACATGCTCTGAAGGAGCTCCTGATGGTGGCTCCAGGCTCCCTGTGTGTGTGTGCGTGCGTGCGTGTGCGTGTGTGTGTGTGTGTGTGTGTGTGTGTGCGCGTGTGTGTGTGTGTGTACAGTGAGACGAGCCCCCTACTCCTGGTTTTTTCTCTCTTCCCCTGTGGCCAGTGCAAACCTGGCTAACTAAGTCGCTGAGGAGATATGACCATTTTCTTAGGGCCACCCCGATGTCCCTTCCTCAGTGCCTCTGTTTCTCTGTGTCCCAGATGTCCCATCACCTGAAGCAACTTAATCTCCTTTGTCTCACAGATCTCCCCCTGCTCCCTGGCTCCCCACGCCGGCTGAGCCCTCGGGCAGTGGACAGGGGCCGCCAGGGTCTCAAACATGGACAGCAATGCCTCAAGGTGCCAGGTCCCCAGGCCCCTGGTCTGCAGGGCACTTTCAACCGAAACTCTGGCGAGTCTTCTGGTGGAGGGAGCTCCTACAGCAGCTCTGTGAGTACTGGGGTTGGGGGACAGGGGTGAGTGTGTATGTGTTTGAGTGAGTGAGTGAGAGAGAGAGAGAGAGAGAGAGAGAGAGAGAGAGAGAGAGAAAGAGAAGGAGAGAGAAGGAGGGAGAGGGGCAGGGTTTTCATTAGGGCCTTTTTCCATCCTCTGTCTCCAAGTCATTGATGGCACCACGTCCCAGCCATGCTGGAGTCTTCTGGGCAGAAGGGGCCAGGGCAGGGGGAGGTGCGAGGAGCCAGGTGATCCCACCTGTTGGTCAGCAGACTCCCTGGCCCCCTCCCAGAGGCCTGAGGAGCCAGACCTGTGCTGTGGCAGCTCTAGAGGCTCTCCCCTGTGCCTGGCGCATCTGGTTGCCCAGGTGACCTCTCAGGTGGCTACTGAGGCAGCTGGGTATCAAACCAGTAATAAACAGGGAAACACCCAAAGGGGAGGCAGGTCCCTCCTCTGCTCCGCCTCGTTCTTTCTCCTCTTTTTCTCTCAACCTCCCATCTCTGGGGGTGGACAGGAGCAGGAGTCAGGACCCTGCTGCCGTCTCTGGCAGGGTCCTCACCAGTGGCTGGAGAGGAGGAGGAGGATGTGGGCCTGTGTGGAGCATAGTGTGTAGTGAATCCCCTTGGGGAGGGATGTGGGAGTGAGCCAGGTGACCAGAAATCGGCCTTTGTTCCAATGGATGCAGAGAACCTGCCAGTGAGTACTTGTGTGTGTGCGTAAGTGTGTGTTTGCAGGCATGCCCGCAGATCCGCAAAGAGGTGGCACATGCGGGTGGGCCACAGTGTATGTGGAGGGCTGTGTGTGTCGGCGTGTACTTGGGTCATGTATGTGTGCACAGACGTGCACGGGAGCGCTGGTGCAGAGAGGCTGGGTGTAGGTGACTGTGCCTGTGCAGGAGTGGGCCTGTGGCTCCGAGTGTGGCGGCAGGAGGTGTGGATGTGCAGGGGTCTGCTGCTGTGTGCACAGTCTGTGTGTGCGGGTGTACATGTGTGCGTAGGTGCCAGAGCAGGTGCGAAGGCACTGATGCCCGAGCTGTGGACAGGTGGGTGGAGGGCTTTGTGGGCTGGGTGTGGCAGATGAATTTAGGCCACTCTGTCCTTTCACTGGGGCAGTTGGGAACTTCGGGCCTGAGGGGCTTGCATAGTCCACCTTTTTGGGTCCAGAACAAGGTCAGCTTCCTCTGTCTCTCACCCCTTCCTTACCAGACCCCGTCGTCCCTGTCCCGTTCTCTCTGTTCAGGTCATCAACAACTACTTGGATGCCGGTGAGGCCCGTTTGAGCCGCATGCACTTCCATGACAACCAGAGGAAAGTCGACTATGTGCTTGCCTACCACTACCGGAAACGTGGGGCCCACCCCAGTCACAGCTCCCCTGGCCACGCACTGGCCATCGTCTCCAATGGGGAGATGGGCAAGGAGCCCCATGCTGGGGGCCCTGGTGACATTGAGCTGGGGCCGCTCGATGCCCTGGAAGAGGAGAGGAAGGAGCAGCGGGAGGAATTTGAGCACAACCTGATGGAGGCCGGGCTGGAGCTCGAGAAGGACTTGGAGGTGAGGTTGGGCAGGTGTCGCAGGGTCGTGGGATCGGGTGGCCCTGCAGGGCTGGGCTCTTGGTGATCAGTGTCACCTGCAGGGAGCTTTGGTTTTGTCCTGGCTGGTGGCTTTTTTTTTTTTGGTGGGCAAACCAGATTTTCTTGCCCAAGGACTTGAGGAAGAGTCCTGGTATATAGGTAGTGCCTCTGCCTAGGGCATCCCAGGTCGTGCGGGTGTCTGACCGGTCTGTTGTGTGGGGGTCGGCCTAGTTAGAGACCGAAGGCAAGATGTTTCTTCCTGGTGTTCTCAGGCCCCATCCTGTGGCTTTCTCAGTAATAGTTTCCTTGGGAAGAAGACCTGTTTGCCTATTGAATTTTGGATCAAAATTCCTCTATAGGGGATCTGCTTCACTGAGGCATGTGCTTGCCTGGGACCCCCTGAGGGAGTTGATTATTTGGGAACTGAATCAACTGAGTTCATTGTTTGGGAACCAAACTTTGGCCACGTTTTATCAGCTTGTGAGCTATATATAGTCTCACTTATGGTCAGTAGTTAGCCTAAGGGAATCCATGGAAATTTATCTGCATATCTAGCCAGCCAGCCAGCCAGGCATTTATTCATTTATTTTCTCCATACTACAGTGATCCTTTAAAAATGACCTGCCCTTGCCATACTCTCCAAACTCATCTCCCACACCTGCTGCAGCCCACTGGCCTTATCTTGGTGTGTGTCGGTCACCCTCACTTCAGGGCCTTTGCTCTGGTTGTCCCCTCTGCCCTGGGCACCCTTCCCCAGACCTGTGCGTGCTCATCCCTTACTTCACACTCTGCTCAAATGCTACTTCCTTCCACACGTCCTGGCTAGAATACCCCTGTCCCATCATTCTGTTCCTTGATCCTGCTTTACTTTTCCTCACCACACTTAGCCCTCCTACCCGAAATAACATGAGAGATTAATCTGTTTTTTTTCCTGTGTCGCCACCTGCCCCATGAAGGCAAGGGTTTTGGTTAGTTCACTGCTATGTCCCCAGCACCTAGGACAGAGTCTAAACAATAAAGAAGTGTCAGTTGAATAAATAAGTGACCTCCCTGGGTCTCAGGTTCTTCATCTACAAAATAACAGATACCCTGCTGGACTGTAGGTTTACATGCCCCATCATTAGACCCTTCTGCCTGGGGCGTCCTGCCCCAGACCTGTGCGTGCTCACTCCCTTACTTCTCACTCTGCTCAAATGCTACTTCCTTCCACACGTCCTGGCTAGAATACCCCTGTCCCATCATTCTGTTCCTTGATCCTGCTTTACTTTTCCTCACCACACTTAGCCCTCCTACCCGAAATAACATGAGAGATTAATCTGTTTTTTTTTCTGTGTCGCCACCTGCCCCACGAAGGCAGGGGTTTTGGTTAGTTCACTGCTGTCCTCAGCACCTAGGACAGAGTCTAAACAATAAAGAAGCGTCAGTTGAATAAATAAGTGAACTTCCTGGGTCTCAGGTTCTTCATCTACAAGATAACAGACACCCTGCTGGACTGTAGGTTTACATGCCCCATCATTAGACAGGGCAATGAAAACGTCCAGCACAATGCATGGTACAGAGTAGGTGCTCAATAAATGCTCATTATGATTCTTTTAAGAGGTGTCATGCTGAGGGGTGGGTGCCATTCTCATCAGAAATCTATTTTGTAAGATATTGTCCCCAAGAGACCCCCAGAGGTCATTCATTCATTTCTCTGTCCCCAGGCAAGATGCCATTGGCCCGGCTCAGACCCTCGTTGTGCTGACTTATATGCTCCTGACCCAGACCCTTTGGCCAGGAGCCATTTTCTCATTATTCTTTCCCCCAATGTTTGGACAGTGTGCTCTTTTAGGGCTCCTTGGGGCTCTTGTGCTGTGAGAATGCTGATTTTTACTTTTTGAAACCCAGAGATCACTTTGATGCCTTCAGTTGGGGTTGGTGGGAAGGTTTCTTGAGGTAATAGTGTGTTTTGAGGGCCATACAAGGAGCTCCTAGCACTACCACTGTGGGAGGCTGTAGTCCACACACCTGTCTCCAGGTGTCAGGGATCAGAGGCCTGGGCCTTGTTCCCTGGATGAGTTGGGAAGCAGCGTCATGCTGTAGAGTGTGGGCTCTAGAGTTCGAATGCAGATAGTTACATCCTGGGCCTGGTGTCTGCTAGCCTCATGACCTTCGACAAGTGATTTGATTCTTTTGAGTCAAAGTTTCCACGTCTGTAAAGAGGGAATGACAATACATTCTTTACTGGGTTGTTATGAAGATGAAACCAGACAAATAAAGTATCTAGAATAGTAATAAGTGTTACTGCTATTATTACTACTTAGAGATGCTGGATTTAGCAGATGAAAGTTCAAGATGCCTAGTCAGATCTGTTTCAGATCAAGAACAAATAATTTTTGAACATACATATGTCCCGTGCAATGTTGGGGATATACTTGTACTAAAATATTATTCGTCGTTGATCAGAAAGTCCAGTGTAACCGTCCTGTCCTGCTAGTATCACTGCCCATCTTTGCTTCCTCTAGTGTGTTTCACTTTGGTTGCTATTGGATATTCCTGGCTTTGGCTTGGAGTTAGGAGGGCCCAGAGATGGCTTTGGGACTGACCATTGGGTCCTGGGTTGTTGTTCCTGTTGTGTAACTACCAAAAGCTCCTTCTTTCCTTGGCTTCAAGGCCTACTTAACTCCTTCGTGGGCTCTTCTGGGTTCCTCAGCTTCCCCTGTACCCCCTTCTCTCTCATCAGACCTCCCTGACTATGTAGCCATCATGGCCTCCTGCCTTACAGTGCTCACTCTCTGTTTTCTACAACTTTATTTTTGTTGTTGATGTCGGGATCTCTGAAGCAAAGATCTGAGTTTATCCCACTTATCAGTCATGGTGCATTATCATCATCGGTCTACATAAGGACCCTCTCGTTACTTATTTAAACACCACCCCCCCTTCCCCTGTTCTTCACTGCCTGCTCACTTCACAGGCAACCATTCCAGTGCATTGTGTTTCTGGGAAATGTATAATGTCATTCTTGCCTTATGTATTTTTTCTTTTTCATTTTAAAAATGTGTTTTATTGTTTAGAAAACTTTTAGATTTACAGAGAAATTAGAGTCCCCATATATCCTGTAGGCAGTTTCCCCTATTATTAACTTCTACAGTAATGTGGTACATATGGCACTATTAATGAACTAATATCGACACACTATCGTTAACTAAAATCCATACTTTATTCGGAGTCCCTTATTTTTCACCTACTGTCCTTCTTCTGTCCCAGGATCCTATCTTGGATGTCACATTAGATTTAGTTGTCATGTCTCCTTAGGCGCCTCTTGGCGGTGACAGTTTCTCGGCACTGTGAGCGTTTTGAATTTATATAAGGCACTCTATTTTACAGCCCATTCTGTTTCTTGCAGCACTATATTTTTCAGACCATTTGCATTGTGCACATGCATCTAATCCATTTTTTCTAATGGATGAGCAGTTTGCAGTCACCACAATTTATTTAGTCGCTCCCCTAATGATAATGGACATTCAGGCTGCCTCCAACTTGCGTGCCATCGCAACGAGGTTGGGAACGAATTGTCACCTCCTTCAGGGCTAGTGGTCCATGATCTTCTCTGTATCCTTCCCTGCATCCCTCACCCCCCATGCCATGTTGGTGTGAAACAGCGGTTAGAGATTTATCAGCTGGAGCCTGTGAGGGTTGGAACAACTCCCTGGGGGCCTGTTGGGGTATGGTATGCACAACTCTTTTCTGTGTCAGGATGCTTAGCCTCTGGCCTTAAGCAGCAGCTTGGAACTGGCAAGTCACAGGAGTGGGGACATTGATTGACTGCACCTGGTGGCACTTTGGACAGCAGGTGTAGTGGCCCCACCTGCTCAGTTGTCCCCTCTGGGCTGGGCTGTCATTAGGCTCTGGTTTCACAAGAAAAATGGAAAGCAAATGGGTTCTTATCAGAAACCCATTAAAAGTTATTCACTTAGCCTTCCAGATCAAAGGAACTTTGCATCCACCAAACTCAGAATGATGGAATATTGCAGTGTTCATTTCCGACCCTAGTTGATATCTGGGTGTGCTTTAGATAGGATGATAATGGGTGCACATCTTCCACTTGGGGTTTCACTTTTTCATTTCGTTTGCATATTTCCATGTATTGACATTGCCCGTGTTCATATTTTAAAGACTATCCAGTATGTATCAGGTGACTAAACCATAGTTTGTCTTTGTGTTTGCTTACATTTGGCCATTTGATTAGAATTTCATTTAAAGACATCACTGGAGATACCTATGGGTGACAGAGACCTGTATCCTCACTGCCGAGTTGGGAAAATGAGGGCCACCTTCGTGGAGATGGGCACCACTGCTGCCGTCATCTCTCTTAATCGTGTAGAGCTTGTGTTGAACTGCCCAGAGCTTGTGTTCTTAAAACTCCCACATCTTGCCCTGCTGGGAAAACTAGGATGTGGGAAATTTCCTGATCCTTAGGAGAACCTTGCTGTTTGGGTTTCTAGGGTGACAATGTCCCCAGAGGTCTTCTTGTCCACTGCTCTGCCTCCGGCGTCGAGGGCAGGTTGTTGGGTGCTGCAGTGAGGGGAGCAGTGCCTTTCTATGGAGTGGGAGTCCCCATACCCCTGCTGACTCTATTATAAATTGAGTCATTTCCTCCTCAGGAATAGGATAAGCGCCTGTATTCTTAGGAAAGGCTATAGCGAATGTGGGGAAAATATGAAAGTGGAATTTAATGATGCCCCAGCTCATACTGTTTCTTGGTGATGGCTGCTATGCCTGCACGAGCATGGGTAGCAGTCACGCCGCTGTTGACTTGCAGTAATGACTGGGGAAAATGCCATGATTTCCCTCTGGCTTTGGATTTGTTCCTGTCCCACTTGCCCCACCCTGAAGCAGCATGCTGGATGGAGCCTTGGGCTTCTCCCCTGCCTCTTTGTTGCCCCAAGGGATCTTCAGGGAACACAACAAAGACAGCCCCAGCAGCCCCTGCCCCTGGGG